AAAAATCCTCGACTCACAGCCTCCCAACACACTCTTGGATGACAGAGAGGGTCACCTGTCAATAACTGTGGAAGAAGAAAACGGATGGTGAAGGGACTAACGTCCGAGATTTTCCCCATTTTGCTAGACTATCTAATACCTGTGCACACTGTATGAGATTGCAGGGAACGTAACTCCCACATCATTGCAGCGGTAAAGAAAACCTGCTTCCTGTCATCGGGATGTAATACTCAAGGCCCAATTACTGTGAAGAAATAGCCAGTGGGTCTTAGGCCAAACACCTGCAACCCTCCCCATCATCAGCAACGGCTACGATTTCAACAACACAGTGTTGTATACCAACACCAGACACCCCTATATATATTAGCGTTGAAATTAAGTTATCATTTATATTTTTCATTTTTATTTTCTTTATTGTAGGTTAATATTTCATATTTTAAGTGAGTTTTATATTTTAAAATTCTTCTATTTAAGAAAGTGTTTTATGTTTGTCTGTTTATATTTCTTTTTCTAATCATTTAATTTTCCTGAGAGGAGCCCACAGCCTTAGTAATGCTTACTGAGTTGTTACAGGGCTGGTAAGCCTTCACAGAAAGCACTTGCTCGCGCACTTACTCACGTCGTAACCCTCGACCTGCATCAAGTCATCCAGGCAGTGCCCATGAATGAACCTCCACACTCTCGTTCTCCACCAATGGGCATTTCCTTATCACCACATTTCAGGCCGAGCGGCATCACCACGCCCCCCTCCTCAACTGCAGGTACCATGATCCCAGGTCTGTACCAACATCCTGACATGGACTCTCATTGACCAAAATGTTCCCAAACGTCGGACACTATCGACGTTTCCGCATCGTATCCTTCACTTTCCTCGATGGACCTCATCGCCAGCACTTGTACACGTCCAGGGAGGAGTGATGTCTTCCCCCCGTGTGTAGCCCCTGCCATCTCCTTTTCTTCGGTTCCCTTCCAACTCTCACTCCATGTCAAAAACTCTGCTGACGGCAGAGTCGAATTACGGCTCTCTCCTAATCTCGGATATCTCTCCTTTCCTCCATATCTCATCGTTGCTCGGCTCGAGTCCTTATCACCACGCTCATCTTTCGCTTTGCGCAGCCGGTTGATCGTACGACCCCCCGGACAACTGGGCAAGATTGCGTCGCCTGTCCCAGCGTATGTCAAAAAACCTGAGTCCTGAAATCTTCCATCACCTCATACGATGGAATCGGATGGTAGCTGAGCGTCATCTTGACAGAGAATGTGCCTCATGTATCCCCACATATGGGCCAGCTGACCACCTTCTGCAGTGACTCATATGTATTGTGCCGTATTTACACTTAGTGAACGGAATCATGATGGGCATCCGCCTCCGAACGCACATTCCTGATCTTAACCCATGTGTAATAGCATGTAACATCATGCAATCTCACCGTACAGCATGATTAAATGGTATGGCCACTTCCTGAAACTTATTCACCAACAGTCTCATTACACATTCGTCCGAACAAATATTTTCAAGAAAATCCTCTTATACCGTCCAGTGCAATACTCCACACAATCTCCTCATGTCTATTCCGTAAGGTATCTTGATGATGCAGGCAGAAGCAACTCCATTAATGCCCGTTTACAGCGCCACTGGTCAATTCAATGCAGACAGTATTAACTGCACGGCTAGCCTGCGCCATGTTTGTGAAATAATACTGCCCACCAGACCAACTCCAGGGTGCTAGCAAAAAAGCAGCAACCGTACCTCTCCCACTCAAGGGTTTGATGGACGAAGTGGATCAGAGGTATTACTAGGATTTTGGGCCTTTGTTGCTTCTGAAGAGAGTATGGATAGACTTGTGTGGGGACGGCCAGCCCACACGACTTGTCTCTCGATCTCCTTTCCAAACTTATAGCAATACTCTCTAGCATGTCCTTTATCTGTTACAATAGGTACAATTAACTTCTTTCTTCTCGATATCACAGATGTCTGTCTAAGCCATGGAGGACAGATTAGGATTGGTGAGTTTTCTTTGGTTAAAGGTACGAGAAGGTACAGTAGCAGGTACATCAGGCCGGCAATGAGCAGCTGATTTAGGTTGCACAACTTCTAGGCAACTTTGAGTTACCTTGTTTCTCTGTTTTTTAGTACGTCAAAGTCTGTGAGGAAAATCTCGTAATTGTATGCTTAAAGTTGCGTTTCCCAGAATATCCGAGGTTAGTATGATCGATAGATATTTTTTGTTATGTCAGCAGACATTACAGTTGTTAAATCTTCATGTAGTCAACACTGAACAAGGCATTTTGTTTTCATAGTTGTTACACTTGGCAGACCTACAACCACCTCTCAAATGCAACTTTTTTCTCACGAGCAAAACTTTACACAAGTTTGATCTTGTCGTCTCTGTAATGTACAAAATGCACGTTGGATAATACTTACAGGTAACAAGTTAATTGTCTCTAGAATAGGTTCAGCTTGACAGCATCATAACTAATTGATACTTTGGCAAATGGGTTAAAAGCAGCAGTTACAAGTTTGAGCTCTTCCTGTCAAAGCTGTGTTGCAACAAGGTAGCCCAGTGCTTTACGTGGGGCCAGATTCATCGCATGTGCCCTGGTTCTCCCAAAACACATCAAAATAGGTGTTAGTGTCACTCTCAAAAAAAACTTTAGGAACCATGGTTGCAGCTTTCTGCACATTAAATGTGTCCTGATGATCTATTTCAGTCTGTTGTCTTTCCAAGACGAACATTTTCTCATCTGGAATTCTTCTTCGTTCAATTTCTCTGAGCCTCTATTTGTTGCAGTCTGCAACATAATGATGGCGTTCAAACCTCTGTCAAACTGTTCCTCGGAGATGATAGGGACCATGTGGGTAAATGGAAGGAGTTAGGAATCTACGTGTTGGACGGTCCTTAAGTTCGGACACTTCGTTCAACCGTCCCTAGAGATGTTATGATTGTGTCTATTGATAATTAGATACGGGGTGGTAAAGACATACACCGCACTAGTATTTTTTTGCAGGGAGGACTCAGTCATTACTATCGCTATACTCTGTACTTATTGGGTCAGTGAGGCGGCGAAGGCCCTCGTGAGCGGAGGTTCACGAGGTCAGAACACTTCTGCCTTAGTTGCTCTTTTTCTAAGTAATCAAATAGAGTCATACTTCCTAATTGTGATACTTAGGTTTCGGGAAATCCTGTAATCTAATAGGGACATCTATGTCATGAGCACGCGAAAACAATATATCTTTAATTTACGCTCTGACAGTTTCGCAGTGTAATTCCTGGTTATTGCACACCGAGAAATTTTTGGGTACTCGCCCCACTCGAAGTTTTAAAAGTTCTCAACTCAGACAAAGTCAGAGTACAATTGTTTCACTTTGGAATAACACGAAAATTTGTACTCGAGAGAGTGATTATGGGAAAAATATATTCCTAATAGGACTTTTTTTGTTTTGGGTTTTCTTTGAGCTAGAACTCAAAAACAGTTTTCCTTCTCCGGTCAAAAGCTAGCAGGGACATACTCCACATGGTAGTTGTACAAGACTAAACTCAAAGCCTTCAGATTAGGAAATACTCAAAGTGTTTGATCATAAGTTACTAGGATGTCAAACTGGCAATTTTCTCCAACCCTTGGGTCAAGAGCATCCCGGCAGGGCCCCCATTTGTTACAAAAAAAGCGATTCTAAAAACTAAAGATCTTCCCGTGAATACTAGAAAAGGATGCCCTTCTTGCATCCCGCCGTTTGGTTTTCGTAACAATTAGTCAGTTCCTGGCCAATTTCCCTTAAATTTGGATGATTCAATAGTGCTTCAGGATTACAACTGGTAGGCTACTAACTAGAGAAAATAAAATTTTTAAAAAATTTATTAGTCATTAAGTTGTCAGGGGGATATCAAATTAAAATTAAATTAATCACATAAATAAAAAAATTCATTCCTCATTTTTCAGTATTTTTGTCTGAAAGCACATATCACATTTTTAATCTTAAGTACCGTC